TTCTGCATGATACTGTAATGGTGGATACATGCTATTATGCACTTGTCAAAACCCATAGATCTATACAGTATAAAGAGTGAACCCTAATGTAAACTATGGACTTCAGTTAACAATTAAGTATCAATACTGGTGCATCAATTATAAAATATATACCACACCAGTGCAAGATGTTAATAATAGGAGAAACCATGTGCAGGCGAAAAGGTGGTATATGGGAACTCTGTACTTTCTGCCCCGTTTTTCTGTAAATCTAAAACTGCCCAAAAAAATAAAGTGTATTAAAAACATACCTACACACAAACATACACACATACATGTTCCTAAAGACCCTCTGAACTCTAAATCAGGAGAGGCTGAAAACAACAGGAAAAGCTTGCACAGCCCTTCCGGAGACAGACTTTTGGTGACCAACACTTAGGTTTCTCATCTCTGATAACCATGTATAGGACAAAACCCCAAATTCTTTAATTTGGCATAGCTGATCTCACGGGCCTTCTCTGGTCCCATTGAACCACTTATTTTCTCATATTCAGAATTACCGTATACTTAAACAAAGAATGACTTAACTTAGATCAGTAGTTCTCAGAGTGTGGTCCCTGGACCAGCAGCAACAGCATCGCCTGGGAATTGGTTAGAAATGCAAATCGTGGGGCCCCATCCCAGACCTACTGAACCAGAAACTCAGCAACCTGTGTTTCAACAAGCCCTCCAGGTGATTCTGAGGCCTGGTGAAGCTTAAGAACCCCTCACCTAAACTTTTGGAGACAGTCACTGAACCAGGGGGATAATCTGTCTCTTCAGGGTCACAGCACCACAATGACTCCTGTGTGTAGCGTGGAGTTTCTCAGGAAGGAAATGGAGGAGGTCTTAGACTGGAGTCAAGACAAAGAAAAAAAATCTTCTAGTCCCCCTGAGGCTAGGCCTCAGTTTGTCCTGGACTCTAAGGTACAGCAGCTCTGGTGCCTTTCTAGAGTAGGTAGAATAAAGGCAGGCCAAAAGCCAAGGCAGAGGGCTAGGCAAGTAACCGGTCTCAGGACAAACCTGGATCTCAGCAGCAGTTGTTAGATGTTTTCTGAGTTTTACTCTTTATTTCCATTATCCCCAAAGCTTCAGGAAAGTTTCATTAAAAGTAAGACCAGTCTCAGCTGTTCTGTAGGAAACCATGGACAGTCACAACAGGACAAGGGAGGAGAGGGGAGAGCAGTGTCCAATCCCCATGCAGGCCAGAAAGGTGGGAGCAGCAGCTGCCAGGCTAGCAGAGGAGCTGGACCCAGCCAAGGGGCAATCTCAGAGATGTCACCAACAAAAAGCAGCAGTGTGGTAGCATGAGGGGAAAGCCAGAGCTGAAGAACCCTGAGCACACTTAGGGAAGTGCCCTGGGGAACTCTCAGAAAAAAGTAGAGGACAGACACTTGGAAGGTTCTATGTATGGAAGGAAAGGAACAATTCCTAGAAAGAAGTTGGGAGGGATTCATGCCATCAAAATCTGGTATTCAGCAAGAGAGGTGGCCAGATGTGAAAGACAATCTGTAAGGACTTCTCTTCAAAGCACTTACCATAATTTTATTTCATATTTATTTGAGTGATCATATGATTGTCTTTCTCCTTCTCTAGACTGTAAGCTTCATGAAGGCAGGGACTGTATATGTTTTTGCTATCCACTGTAACCCCAGATCCTAGCTGGCACCTAGTAGGTGCTCAAAAAAATAGGCTGGATAAACAATTTAAAATCAAAACACTCTGGGGTGTGTGGTTATTTTCACTTTCTCTTTACTGTTGACTTTTTGTCTTGTTTTTAACAAAATTATATATTATCAAGAAAAAAGGTTATTTCCTCTTTTGGAAGGAGTCATCTTTTAAATACAGTGTTGCGGTTTTATTGGCTGAATCATAAATGCTCGTTTAGAAAAGCAAGTGGATGTAGGGTAAAAGCTATTCACTGGAAATACACACAAATTCATCCAACAGTGATCATCTGCAATGTCCAGTTTGAGGATCCTTAGATACTACAAGTCCCAGAGTGACTTAAAAATCAAAGATTAAATTGATTTTTAATTTTTTAATTGCATGAAGTGCTTCTTACGGCATTACAATTCTTTGAAAACTGCACACATATGACAAAATAGTGTGCATGACTTTCAACAATGTCAAGCATCTACAACATAGAGTCACCACACGAGGCACTGTGGAGTCACAAGGAGGCAAGAAATCCACCCCAACCTCTGACAACATGGAATACCAGCACCAGTCACCCCCAGATCAAGAGTGTGGCTGTACGACAGGAAGGGGAGGCGATTTCAGAGGAGATAATAGAAATGGAGACAGTAAATTGAGGTGTTTAAGAAACACTCCCTATCCCCTTAGAAGCTTCCCCTGGCCTAGAGAGAAGGAAAGAAATAAAATTAAATTTTTATAAATGAACATTTGGCATCTTTTACTTCAAGCAGCAACAGGGCTTATGTTCATTTTAAAACAGTTGCACTACTCCGGGTCAGCAGCCTACTGGCGCCAAATTCACAGGGCTGCATGAGAACAGTACTTAACATCCTCCATGCACAGAAAGGGATTAATCCTACAGCAGATGCGACAAACAGAAAGAGTTCTCACCAGAACCTGCAGCAGGGCATCTTTATCCACTGGAGCTCTGTCTAAGCATCTCTGCAGCCTAGTCACCTTAAATTCTTGTTTGGATGTTGACTTAATACAAAACTCCAGATAAAAGGAATGGCAAGTACCTCTCCTCACCATCCCTACCCTCCCAATCCCCCCTGAACTCAGGATCAGACCTCTGGTGAACTAGATGCTTATCTGAGAACAGTCCAAAGGTCAGTACAAAGAAATAACTCCCACCTCTTTCCCTGAAAGAGCTTTTAGAGGGAGCTCGGACACTCCACTCTCGCCTTCCAAAGGCTGGGTAATTGCCAGGCTGGCTGTCGCGAGCCCCTTGCCCTGCTCACCTTTCACTATAATGCATGGTACAGCATAATCATGAAATGTACTTATTAATTTTACTCATTTGACATTATGCTCTTCTGCCCTGAGCTCAATGTTAAGAGAAAATGATAGGGATAGATTCTGCTCCTGTCAGACTTACCAAGACTTTCAGAAAACCAAACTATCAAAGGCCATCTACCGCCCACTAGCCGAGCTTTCCAGATAACCCCAAAGGTACAAACAGAATGTTAGAGATACAGATCCACAAAAGTGAACAGCGAGAGGATGGGGAGCCCCGTGTCCTGGGGTTCAGCTCCTGGCATAAGCACTCCCAAGAGAGAGATCCCTGAGCCCATCCTCCCATGATCTCGAGCTCCAAGCCTTGATTCATGACTTGCTGCTTCGTATCTAATTCATCAAAAGACACTTTGGCTTCTCAAATCAGGAACATTTTTATGAGCTTCCCCAAGAGTTTTACGGCACAAAGCCATACCTAATGATTCTATTTTACAGAAAGTTATACATTCAAACAGTGCTTTGAAGTCAAGCAGCAGGTAAGACTCAAAACTTTGTCAAAAAAGATTCCCTTGCTCTTTCACTTTTAAAATGTTTATAAGCTTTCAAACAGTTGGGAAAGTGATGTGGAGCATTTTAACAGGCTTCTCTTCCCTCACACAGGACCCAGCACTGACTTATCCAATGTATATTTACCATTACGCAGGTGAGGGGGTTGGGTGATTTCGACTGCAACCTCCTCCTCCCAGGGACATTGGAGGAGACATTTTTGGTTGTCACAACTGGAGGGGGGATGCTACTGGCATCTAGTAAGTAGAGGCCAGGGTTGTTGCTAAGTATCCTACAACACACAGGACAGGCCCCACAACCAAAAATTACCTGGCCCAAAATGTCAATAGTGCCAAGGTTGAGAAACCCTGCCTTACGGCTTCTTCTAGACCATGCATTGCATACCCTCCACTCTTGGGATGTCAGACACTGACACCTACAAGCACAACTTTCTAATCACCGTGGCAGGTATACTCTTGGTGCACATTTTCAATGAATAAGAATAAAATGTCATCATCAAAATGAGAAAAGTAAAAGGAAGATAACCTTAGAATCTCAGAACACATGACAATAGTCACTGTTAATAAAACCTTCCTAAAGTTACACTGCACTTTTTAAGCTCCACCAAAAATCAGAAGTTTCCTACTGAAACAACAAAATAACCATCAGTGCTACTGAACACCACCAGTGATGTCTGTGAAGAGGGAAGCAAGGAAAGTTCTCTGCTAATCTGTGGTGGTGTGGTCAGCCAGAGCACTGGGCTTGGGAGGTGGCCTGATCCTGATTCACCACTCCCCAGGACTGGTACTCTGTTGCTTCACTTCTTGGAGCTCTGGTTTGCCTCATTAGCAAAGAGGAGATAAAGCCACTTGGCTGGGAGCTTGGAAGAGCTAAATGAGTTCAAGGGTAGGAAACTGCTTTGTAAACTGTAAAGAGCTATACAAATCTAGAGGGGTATAAAAACCACCAGAGGTCTTTCAGAGACTTGGGTCCTTTTCACAAAATGTCAGAAACAGAAGTAACTTTGGAAATCAACAAATCTAACCCCTTAATTTTAGAGAAGACGAGAATGACCATCACAGAGCTCAAGTAACTTAGCCATGGCCAAGGCCAGGAAACAGCCTAGACAGGCCAGAACTCAGTCAGGTCTTCTGATTCCCAAATCACGACACTCTCCACTCCTCACTAGTGATGCTTTCCCTCCTTGGAGCCCTCGCGGCACAATGGTTAAGTGCTTGGCTGCTAATTGAAAGGTTGGCAGTTCGAACCCACCCAGCAGCTCCACAGGAGAAAGACCTGATGATCTACTCCCATAAAGATTACAGCCTAGAAAACCCTATGGGGCAGTTCTACTCTGTCACGTGGGGTCGCTACGAGTGGAAATTGACTCCACGGCACCTAACGACAACAGCAACAGTGAGGGAGTACATCTTACACACAAGGTTGAGAGAGTCTTGTAAACAGGAGAGAAACAAAAGGTACAAACTAGTATCTTGACTTACTACATCATAGCCTGTCGGGGCTCTGTTCCTAGAAGCCACCACCCCCACTCCCGTGATGGGGTCCATTGATGTTTCTGGCAAGGCTTCTGAAAGGTCTTTGACTTCAGGCATGGTGGATTGGTCCTGGTTCAGAAAAGGAAAAAGAAAGCACAAAATTCAAACTTAACGTTTAAAGTGAACAAAACAAAGTCTCACACAGAACCAGAATCCTGTGGCAAATGTCTTGAGCTAAGATCTGATCTGGCTGAAGGGATCCTGACCTTACCTCCAACACTTTCCTCAGATCAAGAATTCTAATCACCTCTGGCCCCTGCTCTTCTCAAGTTAGCTTTGAAAACCGGGCTAACATAGCTAATGTGGGCTTGTCCCTGCTCTGATGAGGTAATTTTGACTCAAACCCAAAAGCAAACCACTCTCAACTCTATGGTCCAGCTGCCTGGTTTCTGAACAGTTACCAGTAGCTTCTCTGAGGATAAATCAGACATGACTAAGTCTACTAACACCTTTCATTTCTTTCCCTCACGTTCTCTCTTTGTGGAGATGTAGACCTCCAACTCCACAGCCTCTACCACAACCAAGGTTAGACTATTCAGCAGACGGAGCTTTGCAAACAAGAAGGATCTTTGCAAACACACAGAGTAAAGTGTTCTGGGCATGGAAGTAAAGGAATAATACTCAAATCCAGCTCCATGATTTACTAGTTAGTGGCTTTGAGCAAGAAATTTAACCTCTTGGAGCCTCAATTTTCTCATCTATAAAAAGAGGTTGTGATACAGACACTTGCACAGCTGTTAGGAGAACTGAGAGAGTCAATGTAAAGGAAGGGTCTCTGGCACACAGTAGCTACTCAACAAAAAGCAGATGAAACTGGTGAGTTTTAGAACACACGGGTCCCGTATAATGGGTCAGAAATGTAGTAGGAGCCATTCCCTATAGGTCTGGCAGATCCTTTAGTTGTGTTTAACCCCCCAGGTCATGTGGGCATTTACTCAAAGCTAAACACTAACAATGACCATAATTCTTGCTGGGCACTGTGGGAGAAAAGGTTGGGGGGTGGAATTATTATTCTACCGCTGACTGCCTCTTGATGCAACCAGAGTAGACAGGTAGAATATAGAGAGCGCTGGGTCTGGGCAGCTGGAGTAGCAGTGTACCAGAAAGCAAATAAAAATGGCAACACCTTATGTAAATGATTTTAAGTACTTTTAAAAGGACAAGCAGGGAAAAAGAGCAAGTTAAACTCCACCCCCTTCCGCAGCAATTAAATTTCACTGGCTTTAGGTCTGCCAGGTCTCTCAAGGCTGGTTACTGCTTCTACAGCAAACCAAATACCCTGCCTAACTAAGCAGGCAGGAGGAATATTCTTATGTCTCAGTATACAATCAGAAAAGGCAGAGGCCTTAAAAAAAAAAAAATGACGGTAGCCTCCAATTTAGGAACAATCACAATGCTGTGTGCAAGTCACCCATGTAGTCAGCGGTCCCTGGAACCCACAAAGGCTCCAGAAACGGATTTGCCAATACAAGGAAGCCAAGTCCCCAGTCAAGGCTAGGAAGTGCCTGGCACCAGCAGCACTACCAGCTTGTTTATGACAAACACTAAATTAAGTAATGCTTACTTGATTCTACTGAAAATGAGCTTCTAGAAGGCCAGAGCAAGGGGTAGGCTACCACACTGCATCACTGCATCATTTTCTATCCTCAAATTTCATTTCCAGGCAGGTATATCTACATAAAGCACAGGGCCTGGTGCTTCTTGCACACAGTAGGCATTAAGTAAATATTTACTGAATGAGCATGTATGCATGACTCAAAAAAGGCTTAGAATTAAGTATCTGCATCTGCCCAATCTAAAGCAAGCACTGATCAAAAAGTATCTTCACTTGAAAAATCCCATATTATTGGTAATTGCTGCAGTCTGCAAAAATATCAGTATCTGCTGTTGGTTACCAAAATGCTTTGCAATTAGCAACTCATTAACAGAATGTACGAATTCTGCCAGTGCTAAAATATCATGCTGTGAATTTAATAAAGATCATGTGAGGTAGGTTTTTTAAAGATAGTACTGCCTCTGCTCTTCTCAGAAAGAAAGAGAGAGAAAAAGAAGAGGAAAGCATTGGCACAGATAAGAAATATTTCATTTGCTGATAGATTCATGTCCTCAGGTCACAATATCCTTTGCAAGGTACTGATGACAATTGGCTCTCTTTTGCCCTGAAGCACTCTGATATCAATTGCGGTTGGGTAAATGCACTCTTAAAGGAACGATGCTGTTCCCAGAATGCACCAGAGAAAGCAGTCCAGCAGGAGATTTCAAGATGGCTGCAGGCTGCCTCCCAGCTGAGGCAGACAAAGGAGCCGGCGGCCTGTGCCTATGCAGCCTGTGCATGGTCAGAGGCAGCCTGCTGGATAGGGCCAGACAAGCAGAGCATTAGCACAGACCATCACAGATGCACGTCCTTTTCTTTCCTTTTTTCTTTCCCCGGTTGCCATACCCTGGGGATCAAGGCAGCCTTTGTGAAATACAGACAAATGACTCCTCACTGTGCGGGGCTGCGGCTGGGCTCTGCCGGGGAGGAAGCACCACCACCAGCTAAGGAAGCTTTTAATGAGAAACGCCCAAGATATCCATGGCAGAGGCAATCACTCAAAGAAGCTTGCCCTGAATTACATATTTTCTGACAGCAAATTACTTTTAACAGCGTCTCTACCGTCACTTCAATTGACCTTCCTAACAAAAGGCCATTTATTAACTAGCACTCCACGTTTTCTGGACTGTGTGGAGCCTCGAGCTAGAAGGGATGGCACTGCTGAGTACGTAGTCACCCAGGGTCACAGGCCAGGCCTCTGTGAGGGAAAAGAAGAGGCCATTAATGGGAGCCTCCAAGGGGGAGGAGAAGGGAGCAGGGCATTTAAGATCGACATTAACCTGTCTGGCAAGAGGTGATATGGACTAAAACGCCAAGGCCTACCCGCAACAACTCCTGGTTTCATTCTCAGCAACTCCTCATCCAGCATCCACTTCTATCTCAAAATCCTAACTGCACACAAAACACACTAGTAAGCTTCCCTTGTGCTTGTACAGCGCTTTGCAATTCTCAAAAAGCTTCCTCATGCTTCACCTCCATGGATGCTCACACCAAACCTGGGAGGGGGCTAGGTCGTGTTATCGCCATTTTACAGGAGAGAAAAGTGAGGTGCTGAGTGTTCAGACAGCATGCAGCTGGCGGACAGCAGAGCCAAATGGGACCTCTAGTCTTCTTTCCCCAGTCTGGTCTGCTTTCCGTTAGGCTACGTAGAGAGAGACCAGTGTCCCACCCAATCAAGAAAACAGTTTCAATACTAATTATATTTTAAAATGCCAATGCTCTTCTTTCTCTAGTCATAGACCAATAAGTCAAGCAAGGGGGAGAAAAGTACAGAAAGATAAAAGTAACATGGGATTAATTTTCTTCTCACCTCAGTTTCAAGATTCAACATTTCCCTCATAAATAATTTACAACAATAAAAATGAGCTAAAGCCATGTTTGTGTAGGACAGAGGTAAATTTAGGCCTAATGAGGGAGATCCGAGCACTTCGCAGGAGGGGATAGGTTGATCTATAGCACAGTGCAAGCAGGATCGACAGCACACAAGGGCTCCATTACCAACAGGCAGGGCCAACCGGGACGGGGAGCAATTTGGGGAAGCTTCTACCCTCCTGGCTGTGGCTGCAAGGAGGGCCTCAATGAGGAAAGCCAAATATTGCCCCAATATTTTAAATGACAAAATAATAGAGGGTAAGATATTTCAGAATGATAGGATTGAGTCAACTGAAACTAAGTCAGTTCTCCACAAATGTTAAGTAAAGAATGAAGGTGGTGGTGGTGCCTGGGAGTCAAATCTGCTCTTGGGCAGAAGGAAAGTACAGTGGTGACACCGACATTGGGCTAGTCCTTCTCTTTAATCTCGCAGGTCATCTGGTCCCAATCCCCATCCTGATCTCTCTCCCTCGACTGCACGTCCTGTTCCTATGTCTACTCCTGCAAGTGTCACTCACAAGGCAGGAGTGTGTGTATGTGTGTATGTATGTGTGTGTGTGTGTGTGTGTGTGTGTGTGTGTGCGTGCACATGTGTGTACTGGGATAAGATGGGGGACGATTAGGGTAAGGCACGTTTTCCAAGCCAGCAGGATTTTTTCCCAACATGCCATGCTCAATGAATACTATACGATGACGCTGGGTGGGAGAAAGCCTGCTTTCTGCTTTTGCCTGCAACGCTGCAAAGAGAGTGCTTCGGGGAGGCCCCAGCTCCCAGCACTGCAGCACCTCGCCAATGCTGTCATCCCAGGTTCACAGAGAAATGAACTTTAACTATAAAGCCCCTTCACACAGACGGCACACTGCTCCCTTGTAGCTGATCAAAGAATTACTATAACAGTGCGCTTAATCCCTAAAAGTCAGCAGTGCTGGGCTTAACTGATGCTGAACATTGTTTCAGAATCAAAGGCGTGCCTCCCGGCCCCAGTATGGGAGAAAGCTAAGCTACTGTATCACAGCTGAAAACTCAGGGGAACTTTGATATCATCTCTGTTTAATTTCCACAGCCCCTGTGAGCCTGGGGTTTATCTCGTTTTATCAACTCCCGCACTGAAATCAAAACCCAGCTAACAAAGCTCAGACCTCTCTCCACTGAGGCCCTTTACAGCAGCCGGGTGTGGGCTGAGGAGTTTAAAGTTCTTTCGGGGGCAACAAGGGCAGGGGGCCAGGGGGCGCTATCTTCAAAGGATGTGCAGCAGGCAGGGAAAACCCTGCTGAGGCGAGGGAGACAGACTCAGAGGTAGCGCCAGCGCTGCCCGCGAGGGCTGAAGGCATGACTCACACACTACTTTTGAGAAGAGTAATTTCAAAGTACTAAGCGGGGCAGGTTAAATTGCACTACTGTAATTGAAATGACAAAACCAGTAGGTTAATTAAGTCCTACAGAAGAACAAACTTGTGATCAGCTTGTTTGAAATCCAAAGTCAAGGGTGTGAAAGACATAAACTGTCTGCCCACATCTACTAGCTTATGGGGCTGGGGAAGGGAATAAATATTTCATTTGCCATGGGAAATAACTTAAGAGCAGGGTCACCACTGGAAATGGCTATCCCCTAGTAAAAGCTGCTGCTCTGGCTGTCCTAGGGCAGTTCTTTGCCAGTTTTCCAGGGGCAGTGATGGCCTACAGAAACCCATGCCCCCTCTGGTGTCCCACAATTACTGCTACCTTTCTGCTGACAAATTGCAAGCAAGGGACAGAAGGACACTTCCCTGTCCCCACAGGAGGGAGCCTGTGGCCAGGCTTCACCAATGCACACCCCAACACATACAAACACACAAACTGGGCCACCTCCATGTGGCAAAGGCCCAGAGACCTACCTCCTCAGGGGGCAGCGAGCTGAGGGTAGGATCCATGCAGCACCAATGCAAATAGCCTCAGCTCTTGGTCCACTGTGGGGGACAGTGGCACAGGCTGTGAGATGTCCACTGTGGAGCCTCAGAATAGCATCCCAGTGTCTCCTGCACTTTGGTCTGTATATATCCTTTTGAGAACTGACTTAGTTTCAGGTTGGCTCAAGCCTATCATTCTGAAAAGTCTCAGCCTCTATTATTTTGTCATTCAAAATATTGGAGCAATAGTTGGCTTTCCTCGTTGAGACCTTCCTTGCAGCCACAGTCAGAAGGGCAGAAGCTTCCCTAAATCGGTGACCAGTCAGAAGTCATATCACTCTGACAAATGCTCTTGGGTATGGCCAGGTGGCATCAGGTTACAGACTGCTGGGAGGGCTACTAAGATATTGAGGAACTAAAGCAAACATTTTTCTAAGCCCTCACAGATCACAAAGAATTTTCCGGTGAGGAAACTAAAAATTGCGAGCATTTCCTTTTCCCGAGTAAAGGTCTGTTTCTCCTAATAAAAGAATCTGGTGTAACAATGCACCAATTCAATCTGACCTATACTTAGATTTATATTAACCATTTCATTACCAAACATAAATTTTTCCATAAGCCGGGCGAGGCAGGCCTAAGGTTCAGGTTGCTGCAGCCCGTACAGTGCAAGGCCAGATCTCGGAATTCACTCTCCAAAAGTAAATCTGGGATCAAATCCTGCAGCGCTACCTTGGCCAAAGCCCTGTGCCTTACTGGCCTGAGTCTGCACAAACCAGGGAACCTCACGGGAGGGAAGCCATTCTCCAGTACATGAGTGAACCCCACCCAGACTTGTCCCACGATTACTGCAACTGAGGGCCATCAGGCCTTGCCTGGCTGTGCCATGTTGTTCCCTGAAGAGTAGGAAAAAGGAAGTCCCCCTCAGAAGGCAAGTGTCACATCTGGGGCCAAGATGCCCCAACGGTGTTCAGTGATATAAAATGAGTCACACCCTTGCGCTGATGGCCACAGAGCCTACAGAGTAAATATGCCCCTATGCCATGTAAACATCATAAGCCCATAGTCCAGAATCTTCAGAACACCCTTACTTCAGACCTGGCTTCAGGTCAGCCAGGCATGGCCTACCATCACTACCAGCACCACCACCCTCCCTAACTTTTATATGTGTCTTGAGAGTTTATTTTCTTACATTCGGTCATCTAATCATTCCACCTGTATCCTGATGACTTCCAAAATACCTCCAAAGCCCTGAAACTTGGAACTATACATCTAGTGCCATGTTGACTATCTTTGTCCGCATGTTCCATTAATACCCCAAACTCAGCTGACCTTGCCATCCCAGCACCTGAGAGGCCCTGGCACTTAACAGTTGGTTAACAGATGTTTATGGAGAGCCTTTGTGCTAAGTATTGAGGGTACAGCCATGATGAAGATAGAAAAGTCCTACATTCTGGAGTAGTAGTTCTCAAGCTTTAGCATGACTTACAGTCACCTGGAGAGTTAGTTAAAACAGAGATTCTTGAATTCTACCTCCAGAAACACTGATTCAATAGGTCTAGGTGGGGCCCGAGAAATTGCACTGTGGAACTGGCTGGTCCACTGTCCAAACTTTGAGTACAGGACAGGAAAAAAACAAAACTCACTGCTGTCGAGTTGATTCTGACTCATGGTGACCCCATGTATTACAGAGTAGAACTGCTCCATAGGGTTTTCTTGGCTATAATGTAAGATACTCATTAATGTTTGATGAATGAATGAACCTGAAGGTACTCTTTCATAGGGAATAGTCACAGGGAAGCCAAATGACATACTAGAGGGAGGAGAGGTTCTGGAATGAGAAAGACCTAGGTTCCAATTTCAGCTTCACTGTTCACTTGGTGCGTGCCTAAACTGGTCATTCAACTTCTCAAAGCCTCATTTGTAAAACCAGAATATTTACCCTGCAGGTATAGGGAGGATGGAAAGTGATAGTGTCTTGCAGGTGGTAAATGCTCTAATAATCATTTAAGGAAACAAATCTTAATCATAGGCTGCAGACCTGAGAAAGGGAGATATTAAAGATGTATCTTCTTCCGAGGAGAGTTTTGTACATGGTAGACTTTTAATAATCATTTACTGCATCAATCAAATCCATGTAAGCCAAAGCAGTAGCCTCAGAATCAGTCCCCCAATCTCCCCCTCTCCATGTCACAGGTCAACCAAAAGCACCCAACTCCTCCCCTACAGTCACCTGCCTCACCATTTAAAACCTTGGTCACATTCCCATTCCCCCCAAACCTTCCCCAATTGTCCAGCCAGACAGGTGCTCTCACTCAGAATCCTGATGTTGTCCATGTGCGTGGTCTTAGCGCACTAGTATATGCACACGCACACACACACGCGCGCACACGCACACACACAGCCTTGCCTCTCAGAAAAGTTATAACACACTTTCCCTAGCAGGATATAAGTTCTTCACAGGTTTTATGCCTACCACAGTGCCTAGCTCAATAAATGGATGATATTAGATGGATGGGTGGACGGACGGCCAAATGAATCAACTTCCTATCATCCTCTCAAAAATGCCTGCATTTTATTGGATTAGAGAAGGCATATAAAGCTGCAGAGGCAACGGTAAGAACAGACCTGTCAGGCCCCTTCCGGTGAGAGCTCCACTCAGGACAAATACCACAACCCCAGGAATGAGCCACCTACAATAGAAAAGAGGTGGGTGTGCTCAACTTCCAGCAGTTGCAGAGGTAGGTTTGATTCAGTTCAACTAGGCTGGATGAGGGGCTGGTATGGGCCAGTGGATCTCCGGGCTGGCTCCATAGAAGAACCCCCTGAGGAGCTCTTAAAAACAATAGCTGCCCCATTCCCAACCACCCAAGTTCTGCTTTATTGGTCTGGGTTAGGGCTGAGACTGGATAATACACAGTCAAAGTTAAGCGCCACTGTGCTGGGTGATACAGCAACAAATAAGACGTGGCTCCCCACCTGAGGCATTCACAGGCTGGAAGAAATACCCTAAAAGAATGGGACTACAAATAAGAGGGCAATTCCTTCTGCCTGGGGAGTCAGGGAGATGTGACAGGAGAAGTGAGACTCCAGCTGGCTTCCCTTTAAGACAGAGCTGAGGAGTGGGCAATGTACTGCCAACAGAAGACTTAGCATCAGAAAGGCACAAAAAAACCCAAACCTGTTGCTGGCAAGTTGATTCTGACTCAGAGCGACCCTACAGGGCAGAGGAGAACTGCCCCATAGGGTTTCCAAGGAGCACCTGGTGGATTCGAACTGCTGACCTTTTAGTTAGCAGCAGAGCTCTTAACCACTGCGCCACGAGGGCTCCAACAAAGGCACAGTCGTGTGAAAAAACATGGACTGTTTGGGAACTGTGAGTAGCAGATGGGCTCTTAAACAAGTTTATGAAATGTTTAAGCAAGCAAACAAACAAACTAAACCAAAAAAAAACAAACAAAAAAATTCATCTGCAGTTCTCTATTTCTGAGGTCTAAGCAATGATGTCTATCTACACAAGGGGCACCCCAGGGGTTTGAAGAAGCAATTCCCAGGTTTTCTGTTCATATTTCCCCTACTGTAGCTGCACACCTTCTCAAAGCACTCCACTTCCTTCAGACCCCCATGAGGCCTCCTTCTGCTATTATTAGTTCAGTGTGAAGACTGGACAAAAAGGAGAGGAATGAAAAGGACACAAGTTTTGGAGTCAGAGGGATTCGAGCTTGAATCCCAGTTCTGACACGAATTTATAGCTGTGTGATACCCAAGCAAGTTAACTAACCTGGGCCTAAGTTTTCACCACTATAAAATTGGAATGATAGGTAATATTTTATCTACAGGGTTACAATTTATATAAAGCATCTAGAACTGTGGCTCTCAAATTTCAGTAAGCGTAAGTAGAACTCAACATGCTTGTTAAACATGAAAATTCCACGACCCCTTCCCCAGAGATTCTGTTCAATAAGGTTCGATAATGAGGCCCTGGAATCTGCATTTTAATAAACACCCCAGGCATATTTAGCTCATTAAGGATTCATTTATTTCTCTCTTCTAAAGGATCAGGGGATAATCTTTTGAACATTCTGTTCTGCTGACCAGTATCTGACAAAAAAGAATTTTACATACCTACATACATGTATGTACATACATGCACATATATGTGTATGTGTGTATGTAGGTATATACATGTATATATGTAGAGAGGGAGAGCGCGTGCAGTCAAGAAAGAGAACTTGTGCTGATTCTAGCCACAAACTCAACAAAATGGCCCTCCAGTTCTCAGGGAAGTATGACCTACAAAGCTCCTGTATGTGACCTCTGGGCTCCAGGCCCACCGGCCTCTCACATTTCAGCCTGGACAAGCTCGGCATCTTGCCAGAGTGTGTTAAGTAAACCAAACACATGCCCACAGGAGGTCCCCAACAAGGGATGTAATGTCAAGCACACCCTGCAGTGGCTTTGCCTCCCAAGCAGCTAGAAAGAGGAGCTCTGATGCAGGCAACCCCACTGCAAACAGCACAGACGGCGCAGGAAAACCACAATCCCCAAGAGCAGCCCGGTGAGCAGGCGGCCAAGAAAGCCAGTGAGACTAGTGAAATGATGGCCAGGCAGGGCCTCAGAGAGGGCGAATAGCCTAGGAAAAGACAGTTCATTCAAGAAACCCTGGCCTCTCCTTCCACAACCCAACTAGCAAAGGAGACTCTGCTCACTCAACTGCAGCCGACTAAATACAGTGTTCTCAGACCAACCACATCCAGCCATGTAGTCATTTGCTATCTTCATCATCATAATAGCACCTTTGACACTTCTCATACTTTACTGCAACACCATCATTACTTTCCAGGGTGGCAAGGATGTCACCCTTTGAGCAGGAAGCCTTGAATACTACCAGCCTGCTAAGGCAGAGGGGTCTACACCGCCTGGATTCCGATCCCATCAGAAGCAGATACGCCATGAAGCTAACCAATGAAGCTTAAGCTTCAGGGCCCCTCCCTTGTATGTGCCCCTTTCAAGACCCTAGGAGAGGCTCCAGCAGTGTGTTCATGTGGTTTTGTAAAGTGTACAAAAGTATGATATTCTTTTTTCTTAAAGTTACCGCCCCCCCCCCGAATTGTGCAAGTGTCAGACCCACAAAACCAGGATCTGCTGCTGGATCCCAGTTAGATTTAGTGAGGATCCCCATCCCTGACAGTACCAAATGCGGTCACACACATCATTTCAGCCCTCCCGACTACCTTCTGGGGTCGGTTTTATTCTTAAACCACTTTTACAAATAAGGAAATGGGGGTTCAGAAAGGTTTCACAAGGTTCCATGACTTGCCCAGGGTCACCTGGGTTCTAGGAGGTAGACCGATATTCAAACCTAAGCTCCTGAATCCACGCCCACTGTTCTTTCTACCATACTACCACTTCCTAGTTGCCCTGACATGAGCTAAATAATAACCACAAACAGAAATGCACTTTAAAAAAAAAAAAAAAAGATGCTACTCTTCTAATTAGTCAACAAACCCTTAATAATAACTGCTAACTTCTATTGACCACTTGTCATGTGGCAGGCACTGAGCTAAGCACTTTTCTTGCAATATTTCATTTACTTCTCCCGACAATCCTATGAGATACTATCATTAGCCTCACTTTACAGGCAAGGAAACTGAGGTTCAGAAAAGTTAATTAATTTGCCCAAGAGCACACAGTAAGAAAGCCTGGCCTTAAGCTGAGGTCTAATTCTAAAACCTTTGCACTGAACTATGGAGCAATATTCCAACTAGAAGTGGGGAAACCCCATCAGCTGAATGGAGGCAGGGCAGGAAAAATGCCTTGATGGTAAATCAGGAATATAGTCTAAAGGCTCTGAATAAGTAAGCTAGAAAGAAGAAATGAAAGGAATGGAGAGAAAATGCTTCTAGGTCCAAATGAATCAGTAATTGCCACGTCAACCACTTCACATGGATCTTGGTGCCCATGTCCCAGCAGAGGCCCCACCTCAGTATTCTGAGTGTGGCACAAGATCTCAAAATATCCCACATGATTTCCAACGAACAAGAAAGGTGTCACCCATCTCCTGTAACTAAACCTTCCGAACATACTGACTTTTTCAGTTACTCTAGGCTTCCACAGAGATTATCTCCTAACTTTTCCAAGGCTTCTCTGGTGCAGCTGATAAGATTTTCCAGCCCTGTTAAAATGAGATGAGATCCAGCCAGCTGTCATGAAATGTACAATGAGATTACATTGAGAAGGAACCACCAGAGACAAAGACCCCTCAAGAGGAGCTGGCCTGCTGTCTGCTTTTGTGGCAGGAATCTGAGTGGGCTCTGGTCTTTGAGTGGGGGTGGGGAGCAGAGAAGGAGCAACAGCCATTTGCCCGTCTGTGGTCTTCCTCTGCTGCAAAGGCTGTTGGGGGAAGGGCACAGAAGAGTCACATCTTAAATAATGAGACAGGCTGGTAATTTAGGAACAATTGTGTGTTGGTAACGAAGCCAAAGATGCTCATGGCTCTACCTTCTTCATCTGTGTCTGTTTCGGAGGGTTTGCTGTGGGGACCCTACCATTCTGTTCCCTGGCCCTATGCCATAGCTCCTGTCCCCGTCCCTTGTGCCTCACTTGCACTCGAGTCACTGCACGGTGTTCATCAACATGCCCACCAGCCTTCCTGGGTGGGTAGTTTGGGTTTCGGGTGCCCAGGCCAGGCATCTCACAGGTGCCCTAGGACTTGGGTGTCCTCTCTGCCGTGCCCAGGTCACACAAGAGGCAGCACCCTAGATGACGCCCGAGAGTGAGGTGCACGCTGGTATACGCCCACGTGAAGACACCTGTACCCCAGGCAAGGCCGGTCAAACAACTGCCCCCCAGTCTGTCGTCAGGTGGCCACGGCGACCTAGGCACAGGTGGGCCGCCTGACCACTCACACAGGCGGGGGTGGCTCTCGGAGGCCCCTCACCTGCCCAGGCCCTGGGGGTGGTGCTTGCACTCGGTCTCCGAGCTTTCTCCCGCCCGTGTGCCACAAGGCCAAGCCCGGGGCCGGGAAGCCGCGGCGCGCGCAGGGCCTGGCAGAGGCCGTCCGGGTCTGTCCCCGCGGCGGGCCGGGCACGGAGCCCGC